CAATTCACCTCCTTTCATCTCATTTCCCACAAGTATACTACATCTCCAGAACAAAAACATTTGTCTCCTCCATACTGAATCAGGTCACACCTGTGCTGCTCACTCACCCCCTTTCATCTCATTTCCCACAAGTATACTACATCTCCAGAACAAAAACATTTGTCTCCTCCATACTGAATCAGGTCACACGTGTGCTGCTCACTCACCCTCACTCAATCCCCCACTTCCAACTACTCACTGTACCTGATGTCATGGGGCAAACAGGACTGGTCCAGGTTATACTGAATCACGGCCAGTTTGCACAGAGTCTTCAGACTAGGGCCTTTAGGGGTGAAGTTGTAGAAAGGAGATGGTCAAAGCTGAGGAAAGGGTTCAGTCCTGGATATCACCACCCAAAGACAGGGACCTTGATGGCAGGAGCAATTCAGGAATAACTGTACTTACTAAAGTCTAAAATGTGTAAGTCAGAATGATCTATGAGGTCAAATTCATCTCCCAGGCCTTCCTCAGGAGATGGACTGTCGCGATCAAAAGAGATGAAAGTAGGATGAAAACTACTCCTGAGACCCCCTTTTCAAATACCTCCCTCTCTCCCATTAGTCACTTCCCTGAGCCCATTCCCTCTCTCCTCCTAACCTGGTACCCCCAAAGAGGACAATCTTGTCACCAACAATACAGCAACACTGGCGCCGGCGGGGACATGGCCCCTTCCCCTTCGGTTCAATCTTTTTCCAGGTAAAGGACACTGAAGAGAAATTTACATGGAAGTTCAACACCTGTCTAGTCCAGGTATCTTCCCTGCCCCCATCCCCTCACCTCCTCAGGATTCTTTTCTTTTCCTCCCACCTCAATTGCTCCTTGTTCCTCCCCTAAAGGCAGTGCTCTTTACCAGGATTAAACTTCCAGAGGTCATGGAAATGCCGGTTCAACCTTGCATTATAGCCACCAAAGATGTACAGCTCCCCATTGTAGCCAACTGGAAGGAGAGAGGAAAGGTCAAGAGTGTGAGGAGGGCAGGAAGGGATCTCCACCGGGAAGTAACAAACACTCACAGGCTGAGTGGCTCCGGCGCCCTTCAGGCAACACTGGAGTCGGGGGACAGTCCAGCCAAGCCTCAGTTCTGGTGTCAAAGACGCGAATGCGGTTGCAGTAAATCTCATTGTTGGAATGGAATGGCCCAAAGCGGTCGGCACGGCCTCCAAAGACATACATGTGACTTCCCAGCATTGTGGCTGAGTGGAAGTCCCTCCAGCGTGCAGGGTTGCCCTGGGCAGAGGCAGAGAGATGGTGGAGGGGTCAGCACAAAGGCTGGAAGAGGATCTGCTCTGACTGAGCTTCCTATGATTTCTTCAACGGAGGGTGGGGAGCTGGGAGAAAAAACAAAGAGCAGACCTTTGTACAGATAAGAGTCCATGTCATGGTGCTGGTATCTAGCTTATGAATGTCATTGGAAAAGCAGTCCGCCTGAGTAGGAAGAGAAAAGGAGGAAGAAGAGAGAGAGGCAATGGTCACTCTCTGACCTTTCATCCCTCCCCTCAAAACCTGCAAACAAGCCAAAGCCTCCCATTTCATCACCCTAAATTGCCCTTCCTCTTTCTCAGTCCCACCCTAAACCTCTTAGTTTCTTCCCAGACCTACCAGCTGCTCGTAGCCCCCAAAAATGTACATGATCTTGCCCAGGACACAGGCCGAATGTCCATCCCGGGCCCCAGGAACTGTCCCTGACACTCGGGGTGTGAACCACTTGTGAGTATCTGAAGGAGATGAGAAAATGACTCAAGTAAGCACCCTCTATGACAGTCCCTCCTGAGCTCTGGGGTACTCTACTCCCCAAGACCCCCAACCCAAGCTTCTCTCAGGCACCCGAGGCAACATTGGAAGGACACAGCCCCTCTGAGATCCATACTCACTGACGTCAAAGGCATAGAGTACATTGCAGGCCCCTTCGGTGTCATTCCGCCCGCCCCAAAGGAAGACTGTGTCGTCGATGAGGACAGTCGAGTGTCCATACCGCATGTAGGGTACCACAGGAGCTTTCCCACGGATGGCAGGCTTCACTGGGGGCAGCTTTGTCCAACGCAAGGACACTGTGGGTATAGCTCTGCTCAGCCCTGGGAACCTCCCTCCAGGTTGTCCACCTTTCCCCAAACCAGATATTCGTCCCCAATCCCCTTGGCCCCAGAGACCACAGCCAAACCTCATTCAGCAGCCCATTTCCCTCCCTGATGTGGGGACCCAGGGGACAGCTCCAGCACTGGCTTACCTGCATTGAAAATATGCACATCTATCTGACGCAGTGTCTCATAGTCTTCACCAGAGCAGTAACCCCCGAAGGAGTATACCCGATGCCCGACAGCCACTGCAGCATGGTTCACCCTGCGGGGCCCGCCCTCCAGGTGCACTGTCCACCGTAACATCCCCTGGGCCACTGGTTACAGCGACATGCCCCCCCGGCACGGCCTGCTGCCTCTGCTACCTGCACACAAATTGGGGCCACAGGATCCTCAGGCAGGGCTTCTGCCCGGCTCACTGTGACTCTGCCCAGAACCAGCCTTTGCCTCCAAGTGTCACCCTGGTGGCCCTCCCACACTACCCCTCCACAGGGACGCTAGTCACAGCTCAGGTGGCTGGCCCTGCCCCAAGGGAGCTGCCGAGGTCAGGGAGCTAGCCCTGGCCCAGTGTTCTCCAACAGTGAAGGGTGGGGCTGCCCCAACCTGATTGCCAGCTCAGAATCTGCTGATCATGTTCACTCCCTACTCGTGGCGGCTCCACTCTATCCCTGGCTTGGCACAAACTTCATGCCCCCTTCCCAAGCTGGGTATATTCTCTTGTCTCTGGCTCTGCTCTGCTTACTGCCACCTCTCTAAGAATCTCTGTGTTCTTTAAGGTGGGGAAAGGGATCTCAAAATACTCACAGCTATTAATAGCTCAGCCAGCCTCAGACAGTCCATTGAAAGCTGGCATGAGTGCCTCAAAGCAGAAAAGCTTTCAGGCTTTTAGAGTGGAACAATCCCCCTACCCATGATAGGGTGGGATTGATCCAGGACAGGGACCTCCATGTTACCATAGTTGGTTAGCCCCTCACAGGGAGCTCTTGTCAAGCTGAGTTGTTGTCACCGGGGTCACCCAGGGCCCTCCACAGGCACAAGGAGTTCCTTTGACAGCTGTGCCTGGTATGCTTCCAGGACTTAAGCCAGGAAGGTATGTGTATGGTTAGGCTTGGGGGATGGGGATAGAGGAAGGGGTTTTCTCCTTCTGCCACTTCCCCATCCCTGCTATTGTGGTAGAGAACAAGTCATTTCCAGTAGAAAAGAGAGAGAAAGCTCTTCCAAAACTTGGGTTCCTGAAAGGTGGATAGGGGTGGAAGTGTGTAATGGAAAGAGGAAGGGAGGCAAAAATGTCCTTGGGCAGGACAAGAGAAAGATCCGGTATGAGTGGTCGTGGTCTCAAAGACAACCTGCCAACTTAGTGGAAGGTACATCTGGGTACATCTGAGGGTTCTTTCAGGCAGATCCGTGCAACTGACAATGCTTTTGCTGGCAGGCATCTCCTAAGTTTGGGTGGATCATCTGCTCCCTGTTTAAATAGCCCTGGCAGAGGGAAGGGCCAGGCAAAACCTCAGGTACAAAAACAGCTCAAATAAGGGAGGCCCCTTGCAGGAAAGAGACATGGCTTTCAGCTGGCTTGCTAGTCCCACCCACCCAACCTCCCCCAATTCCACACCCCAAGCTTTAAATAGCCACGGGGCCCATCCTCAAATAGCCCCAGCAGGAAGCTACTCTCACTTCATTACTCCCGCTCTCCAAAATATCTTGGGTTTGGGCTTGTGGAGACTGTTAGGTCCACGGGCTTAAGAATGGAAGTCTTCCATCCTCCCTTATATCCTCTATTCTTCCCTTCAAATATGTCAAAGTAAAGTAAAAAATGCACATAAGAGATAAGCAACTCCAGGCAAAGGTGGAGGAAAAAAAAATAGTTTCTCTTCCATAAGAATAACTCAAATTCAAGGAGAACAGGCCCCCAGGGTCTGAGGGCTCCTCTTATCCCTGGGTCTCCCCAATCCTCTGTCACCACCAAGCATTTTCAAGCTTTTTCGATTCCCTTAATTTATCTAACCCCCTGGTCTCTCGCATTTTTTATTTCCCCTTTCTCGCCCTTCTCGATCTCGTGAGAGCTTTGCAGTTTTCTCGTTTTCCCTTCTACCACTCCAAGCTCCACCCAACAGCCCTCCATTTTCCCACCTCCACCAAGGAAAGAAAAATTAACATGCACTGACCACGTATATCCCTCCCTGCATATGACTCTATCCCTGTCTTCTTCCAGACATTCCAGCCTCCCCTCGCCCCACCACGGCAGACTCCCCTCCCCTTCCATTATGCTCAGCTTCCCTGTTTTCATAGCTCAGTCTTCCTTCCAATTTCCTTCAGTGCTTCCTCCAGCCACCAGGTCTCTCCTACCCACCTCCTCGCCATCCTCCCCCAGCCCCGCTTTCCCCATTAACACTCTCCTTTCCCGTCATCCCCCTAGCTCCCTCCCCACCCCCACCACCTCATCACTCTTAGCCCCTCCCCCGCGACTCCAGCTCTAGACAGGGCGCCCTCAGCCCCCCAATTCTTCCTTGCCCTTCCACTCATCCCAGGCTACCTGCCAGGCCGGGCCGGGGCGGGGCCGCGGGTCCTCGCGCTGCCTGCAGCCTAGAACCCGTTGCGCGCCAACCGACGCCTTAGTCCCCAACGAGATAAACACAGCCAAGCACAGTTCTTCCGGCGGGCAGCTGTGCGCGCACGTGCAGTCGCAGTTAAGTACCCGAAGCCTTCCGGTACTTGTAGTCCACCTGTTTCTTGAGAGACGAGAGGGCTGAGGAATGGGCAGGGGCATAGGAGAGATTCTGCGCATGTGCAAATGTGTCAAGACCGAAGGGGCCACTGGGTAATGCAGTCCTTTGTTTTCTGGGCTGGGCATGACGGAGGGAGGGCAAGGGGCGGACTCCTGGTCTTCGCTAGCATCAATCATGAGCATGAGGCGGAGCTGGAGGGCTAGGCACCTCTGCGCGTCCTGCCCCGCCGGAAGTGAAGGCCACGGGCTTTGAGCGGGTGAGGCGCGCGGTGACACTGGCGCCGGGATTCGGGTGGGGGACGCCGCAGCTGGGACCATTTGAGGGGAGCCCATGGGCCCTGAAGGGCATTTGTCAGGTGGTACAGAGGGGGACCTCTAGGAGAGGGGAGAAGGGGGCGGGTACGCCTTGTTAAGGGGAATCTGGTGACCCAGAGTTCCCAAGTCGCGGGGGAGGCGTGGCGGGGGAGCCGGTATTCTGGAAGGGGTGTCTTAGGAGATGGTAGGGCCTCCGGTTGGGTGTTTAATTAGGAACTGGCGGAGCAAGGCTGTGGGGCCTGGTTCGAGATAAGAGCCCAGACTTAGGGGTAGGAACGAGAGGCTGGAGGGGGACGGAGGGGTGGAGGATGCAGGAGCCTCGGGGAGGAGCTAGTTTTTTGCACGCAGGAGACCACAAGGAGATGATGATGAGAGGATGAAGATGAAGATGGGCCTGGTTTCATCCAATCCCTGTCCTCCCACCTCTGTTCCTGCAGCCCCTGCCCGGATGGCAACAGTAGTTCTAGGGGGAGACAGCATGGGCCCTGAGCGTATCTTCCCCAATCAGACTGAGGAACTGGGGCCACATCAGGGCCCTTCAGAAGGCACTGGGGATTGGAGCAGTGAGGAGCCTGAGGAAGAACAGGAGGAAACTGGGTCTGGCCCAGCTAGCTACTCCTACCAGCCCCTGAACCAAGATCCTGAACAAGAGGAGGTGGAACTGGCACCAGTCGGGGATGGAGATGTAGTTGCTGACATCCAGGATCGAATCCAGGTAGGGTAGAGGGGGGATGGTTCCTCAACAGGTGAAGCTGGGCTCCCTGGAAGCCTGGACCCAAAGGGTCTTCTCTGGCTCTGCAGGCCCTGGGGCTTCATTTGCCAGACCCACCATTAGAGAGTGAAGATGAAGATGAGGAAGGAGCTACGGCATTGAACAACCACAGCTCTATTCCCATGGACCCAGGTAAAAGAGATAATTCTTTCATTCTGGAATAATTACTAAGGAAACGAACTGGCTTGAGTCAGTAGAAGGAAGTTTCAGATGAAGACCCTATTCCTAAAAAGATAGTTTGTAAACTAAGATTTTGTGGACTTCAGAGTCCAAGTGAAATGCTCATCTGCTAGCTTTGGGGATAGGCAGGCTGGCCTAGAAAACAAGATGGATTTGGTGACCCGCCCAAGGGCTCTGGGTTGATTCAGGGATTGGGGAGGGGAGCTGGTCCCATTATTTCTGTCCCTGACTGGCCTCTGGCTCTGATTTCAGAACATGTAGAGCTGGTGAAAAGGACGATGGCTGGAGTAAGTCTGCCTGCGCCAGGGGTTCCTGCCTGGGCTCGGGAGATATCGGATGCCCAGTGGGAAGATGTGGTACAGAAAGCCCTCCAAGCCCGGCAGGCATCCCCTGCCTGGAAGTGACCACAGTGAGAGCTGCCTTATCTTCCTACATTCCAGGCCAGAACCAGCACAGGACCGAACACATCCCTGGTTGTAATGTCCATTTTCATCTTCCCCATCACCCTTTCCACATCAAGGCACATCAGGCTCTCAGAGACCCACTTTATTCGGTTCTGTACATATGGGGACATCAGCCCAAGCCCAACCCACCTTAGCATGTATCACTCTGTGGAGAATAAAGCACCCTATGTACACAGCCAAAAGCCGCACTGCCTGCGCCCCTGGAACCTGGGTCCAGCCCTCCTTAGTCCCTTGCCCCTCCAGGGTACCTACAAGGGACAAGAGAGGGCCTGCCCAACGTAGCACAAACAAGGAAATAAATAGGTGTTGCCAGGAGCCATGCTTGGGGCATTGCTCCCTGCTTCCTTCTTTCTAGTTTTGGGAAAGCAGTCAGCCCCAGGGTGGTCCCTTCCATGTCTGTGATCCCAGGGCTGCTGCTTACCAAAGACAGGGCATGGGGTAAGGTGTTTGTTCATCCCTCCCTGGCCCCACCTAGTCCATCTGGGCCCTATATTCATCAGTTATTGTCCACAGCCTATACTTTTCTCCTTTTGACCTCCCTTGGTCAGGCATCGGGTAAGAAGAAATAATACAACCCTATCTGCCAGCACATGGCTGGGGCTGGGGGCGCCTATTTGTGCTGCAGGGGGTTGGCTTCCCTCCAGCTACTCCAGGGGCAAATGGGGCTTGCCTAACTTTGGTGAGAATAATCTCCTGCTGTTCCCTACATGCCTCTGCAGTGGAGAGAGAGGAGGGGAGACACCTGGCGTTCAAATGAGGATGAAGGGAAGAATAGAGGAGCATATGTATTCCTGTGTATACTTCTCAGAGCAGCCTCAGGTAGCTGTGGGTGAGGAGCAGGTAGGGGACAGGCATCCCCAGGTTGTCTGAGCACTGAGCATCTTAGTGCTCAGCCTGTATTTGCCACAAGGAGGCATGAACACCTTTTGGGGAGAAGAGGGAGCACTCTGTGGGTGTCCCTGCTTCAAGTGCCCACATCCCCCTCCCTAGAGTAGCTAGAGAGACGCTGCCTTCCCCCAAGTCAGCCAGTAGGGAGCAGTGTGTGGAGGGCCGGGGCAGTGTCCCAGGGCTGAGTGGGCTGTGGCCCTGTGGTAGGAAGGTGAGGGGGTCAGAGAGCCTCCTGGCTGGCAGTTAGGAACTCTTCCGCCCGCTTGTGCGCCTCCAGTGCCTTGATGGTATACACGTCCTGGGGCAGCTCTGACTTCCTCCGCAGCAGCACTTTCTCCTTCTTGATGTCTTTTAGCATCTGTGTGTGAATAGGGACAAGGAGGAACAGTGACCAATTCCCAGTGAATTCTATTGTTTCCTCCCCTTATTCTTTGGCTCTGCTGTCTGTGTCTCCTCTCCCTTCCAGAGCTATTATTTCTGCTCCACCCTCCTACATTACCCTCCCACCTGCACAGCCTCAGTCTCCACAGTCCTCTTCAGAAGCTGGATGTCCTCAGCTGTAGGGGTCTCTGTCTCCATGGAGTACACAGGGGGCAGTGGTGGAGGAGCTCGAAACATGGGATACTGAGTGAGAGGAGACATGGACAGCGGTGAGAGCCACTTCACTGACTTGGGGGCCTGTGTGCCTCATAATACTCCCCCAACACACTCTCCCCCAGCTCAAGATGGGCTGGCCCCTCAGTTCACAGAACTGGCAGGAAATCCTCACCTGGGGATTAAGCCGGGCCAGCTCCTCGATTTTTTGCCACATCTCTTCCCTTTCCTTCATTCGGAACCGGCCCCTGAGGAGCAAAAAAGTAGGATTAGGGTTGGGCTTGAGAGAAACAAAATGAGCTGGTGGTAGAAGATGAAAGTCACCCAGGGAGAGAGGTACTCACTTCTGCTTCTCTGCCTTGTATTGTTGTGTGCAGTCATCAAACAGCTTCTGATTCATTTCCATAAACAGCTTCAGGGCATTATAGATCAGTCCATGGATTGTCCTGCCACCAGGAAGAAAGATGAGGTGTAGGAGACCAAAGCCTGCCCTTAGCACGAGGAACCCAATTTGTTCTCTCGCAGGGGTATGAGCTTTCATTTACTAATTCCAGTTCACAAACCTCTATGCAGGATCAGAAGATAGCTCTGGCCAAATCATCTGGTTTGAAACTGGCATTTCATGGTCCACCTGTCCATGCTTCCCTCACCCTATTTTCCAAGGCCTGCCTACCTCCCACCCTTTCCCACTCTCTTTTTTTGAGACAGAGTTTCACTCTTGTTACCCAGGCTGGAGTGCAATGGCGATCTCGGCTCACCGCAACCTCCGCCTCCTAGGTTCAGGCAATTCTCCTGCCTCAGCCTCCTGAGTAGCTGGGATTACAGGCATGCGCCACCATGCTGAGCTAATTTTTTGTAGTTTTAGTAGAGACGGGGTTTCACCATGTTGACCAGGATGGTCTCGATCTCTTGACCTCGTGATCCACCCGCCTCGGCCTCCCAAAGTGCTTGGATTACAGGCGTGAGCCACCACGTCCAGCCCTTTCCCACTCTCTAACCCATACTAATGGCCTCCCAGCAGCATGACAGACTGCATCTATACCACACCGTGCTTGCTTTTAGCAGAAAAGTCCTTTCAAAACCCTGGGATTCTTTTTTTTTTTAAGATGGAGTCTCACTCTGTTGCCCAGGCTGCAGTGCAGTGGCACAAAATTGGCTCACTGCAACTTCCACCTCCTGGTTTCAAGCGATTTTCCTGCCTCAGCCTCCCGAGTAGCTGGGACTATAGGCGCATGCCATCACGCCAGCTAGTTTTTGTATTTTTAGTAGAAACGGAGTTTCACTACGTTGCCAGGCTGGTCTCGAACTACTGAGTTCAGGTGATCCACCTGCCTCGGCCTCCCAAAGTGCTGGGATTACAGGCATGAGCCACTGTGCATGGCCCAAAACCCTGGGATTCTTTACACATACTCTCAAAGAGGGTCGCATCAGCTTCTTGCAGCATAGAATTACGTCTCTATGACAGGACCTGCAGAATAGCTGACCCCAAGGAGTGGTGTAACACAGGTTGCTGCCCTGCTGTTTGATATCACAGAGATCTTGCACAGAGGCATCTTTTGGCTCCAGTCAGCCCCTCAAGGTCCTATCAACATGCAGGGGACACCAGCCCCACTTGCTGGGTGACCAGGTGAGACCCCTGGCTCTTTAGTTCTTCCATACCCTCAAAGTTTTCCAAACTGGATCCCCACCACCCAGCGCCCCCCCCGGCCCCGCCCCAGCGCCTTACTTGTTCCAGTGGCTCTTGGAGTTCCTGTAAAGTGCAGGGAACATGATGGGGAGGACTCGGGCTGCATTGTCACTTATCAGGCTCATGATGTACTCATTGTTCCAGTAATAGAGAGCACGCTCTGCCACCTGGTGGGGAGAGTTGGACTCGGTGGGTACCTCTCGTTTCACTCAAGACCTTCTCAGTTTCTGGCAGGGGTTGGGATATGCGAGGTCAGAGTCTCACCTGGAAATGGGGGCTAGAGACACACTTGGCCAGCTGGCGGAAGAGGGGTTCCATCACTTTGCTGAACTCAGAAGGTTCAATGACGTCCAGAATCTCCTCCAGCTCATTCAAGAACATCACCTCCTTGGGGCTGTGGGTCTTGGGCCAAAACTTAAGAAGTCCCACAATTACCTGGGAGACAAGGAGGGCATGGGGATGAAAATTCTCTACACCTGCCTGGGTGTCTACGAAGTTTTCCCACCCGTGCTTTCCCCGACCCTGGTGGGCACAGCTTGGGTGATCTCAGCCACCTGCCCGTTTCTTTGCCTTGGATGTGTTTCCTAGGTGTATATATAGGTTTCGCTTCTCCTTCAGAGAGGAAATCATGTTACCTGTCAGGTCACAGCCCTCCTAAGCACCCCCTTATGGCACTGCTCAATAGGTATAGACTGGCAAGTGATGCTGACGACAGTTTAACAGGTGGGCCTCGGGTCCCGGAAGGGAAATTACCGGCTCAGTCAGACTGCTCTCCTTCTCCAGAAATTGTACCACGCAGTATGCCAACTGCAAAAGTGTGAGGTAGAAGGGAGATGAGATGTAGGTCCTAGAAGTTCTCAGAGAAGTCAGTGATAGTAGCAAGATCCCAGAAGGGAAGGGGAGGTGGAGGGAAGGAATTCTCCCACCTGCTCCCTATGCTTCCCCTATCCCAGCTGGAATACCTTCCTGCCCCCATCTTTTCTCTGCTGCCTGAGTTGGACATTATCACGAGGAAGGCAGCTCACCTGAGGGTGATACACACTCAGGGACTTGACCTTGTGAAGGGGAAGCAGGACACGGATGAGGAACATCTTGTGCTCTTCTTTAAGGGGCAGGGCAAAGCCATTGATGATGCTAGGAATTAAGGGACATTTGTCAGGACCAAAGGGACAGATCCAAATTCAGTGCACCAATCCTCCCAACCTTTTTCAGGCATCTGTACCCCCACCCTGCCTCTTACCTGCCCAGGATCTCCAGGAGCTCAGCAATCCCGTTGTGATGCTCCGTCTCATAGATGAACCTGAGGGAAGAAAAGGCCTCTCTTGACAACCCCTGATGCCCCTCCAGCATTCTGTACAGTTCCCCCCACCTTCCCGCTCCCACCCACCTCGGTAGCAGTTTGCTTACTCCTAAGCCTGAGCTCCTGGCCTCACCTGTAGAAGATGTGGTTGATCTGCCTACGGATATAAGCCCGGAGCCCCAAAAACTTGCCATAGATGCGATGCAAAATGGTCTTGAGGAAGTCCCGCTCTCGAGGATCCTCACTGTCAAACAGGTCTAGGAGCTGGGAGCACGAGGGAGGGAAAGCAGCTGGTGAGGCAGCAGCCAGGGAAGGTGGGGGCCAGGGTAACACAGGTCCTGCCAGGGGAAGTGCAGAGGTCCCCTGGAGGAGGAGCCGGCAAGTCTTAGAAACGAGAGTGATTCTACTCTATTGCTGACTCTATTGTATTTGTACTGAGACTTCCAAAGTGATGCTTCCTGGAAAGAGGTACTCTGTTGTTGTTTTTTTGTTTCCTGCCATTATGCAGTTAGTTTTTTAAGGCTAGAGTAGGGTTTCTTTTTTTAACCCTTTATAACCTTCTCATACCAGACATGGCTGAAGCCCAATATATTCTGCATAAGGGGAAAGAGCCACTTGGACACAGGTGAGGCAGGCATGGAATGGAAAGAGAAGATATGACAGGAACTAGGGGACTCACAGCAAGGACAAACTTCTGGTCGATGTACTTCTTG